GCTTGCTAGGACCCAAACTGCCGTCGCTTCAGAAGACATTCCCAGCAATCTTCAGGTATGTTTGTCCTTACATCTTGACTGTTAGGTCAAGATCAGTAGTTTCAAGGTTAATTTCCAGGCAATTTAATCTTACTCCCATCCCTTGTTTATACCACACTAAAGGAGGCTGAAAAATTGCTAGCAGAACATGATACACTGGGCCGCGAGATCTCAGGATATGAGCCGGATTTCATACGCCTAATGGATTTCGGTCGACATGTTACCGAAGATAAATCGGATCCTCAGTATATGTGGTTGGCTCAGCGATTAAACGGTCTTTCAGATAGCTGGGAGGGTCTCAAGACAATGTACATCAATCGTGGAAATGTCTTGCAGCATGCCGTTGAGGCCCAGGTTAGTTTTCAGTTTAATACCGACCCGAGTTTACCTTAAACAATTTTTTAAACTCTTCTTTTCTGTTGTAGACATTCTTTCGTGAAGCAACCCAAGCTGATGTTATTCTTAGCCGGCAAGATAATTTCCTATCAAAAGAAGATTTACCAGTAAGTAATAAAAATGTGATGAAATCACTCTAATTTTCACATTATTGTTATTATGCGTTGTTACTATGCTATTTGGTTATGATGCTTAATCTCTAACTAATTAATCCTTTCATTCTTACTCGAAATTATAATTGTCGTTTATTCACTTATATTACTTTATTGACACATCGTATTCTTTAATTGCAGTCTTCCGCCTTGTATTAATGCGTCTTATTATTTTTGCATCTGGCTCTTATCCATTATTTAACTCGCTAGTAATTCACCTTAGTCTCTTTGTTGACCTTAAATCTTATCCTACATTAATCCCAACTTCATGCCAACTATAGTCTTCCCTTGAAGCTGCCCAAGAATTGTTGCGTCAGTTTAACAATTTCGCCCAGTCTGTTGGAGGAAATGAAGAGAAGATTGAGTCGGTTCTGACATTTGGTCAAGCCCTTATTCTTAAAGGCGTCTTCCCTGTCGAGAAAATCCAAACAAAGTGCGATCAACTACGAGAACGGTAAGTCGTAAATCGTATCCCTGTTAAATCAGACTAATTATTGACTTATGAAGCTTAATAAGGCTTTTTCAGAGTTAAATATAATTTATCTTGGTTAATTCATATTTTAATATGAATCTTTCCCTATTACTAGCGCCATTGCAAACCAGAGTCGTATGGATAATCGTGCCAAACAACTTAATGAGCAGCTTAAATTGCAGGAATTTTGCCAAGAAATAGATGATGTGAGTATATTGTATATTTATACCTGTTTCACCTTATTCTTCGCTTATTTCTTTTATCTAATGTATTATTAGGTTGAAGAATGGATGGCAGAAAAGGCAATCGTCGCCGCTGAAGAGCCCGCTCGTCAAATGCATAACATCGCTGCTGTCTATAGCCGATTTAAGGCTTTTGAAGGAGAATTAGAAGCAAACAAAGACAAAATCATGCGCGTTATTTGGGCAAGTTTTTAATTATCTTTTATTTTGTCGCTTTGCTCTTGTGAAGAGGTTTATATCTATTATTCCTCAAAATGTCGCTTACGCCTGCCCCCTCTTGTTCAATTTATAGGAAGGAGAGGAACTGGTAGACCACCGTCCTACATTGAGTGAGGTCGTGGTACCTCGTCTCCTCTCCTTACGCAAGCAATGGGATGAATTAAATACGACTTCCGTGGAAAAGAGCGCAAAAATGGCGGATGCAAACAGAGGTGGGTGTATCGCTTCGCATTATTACATTTCGTTAGGTATTTTATATGCGTATTTTTTTAGTCATTCATTATGCTGATGCAAATAATTCATGACATTTCTAAGTATTGTTCTTGATCATTCCTCTAGGTAAACATGTATGTTAATATCCCTTGCCACATATCCTAGCTGTCACACAGTTGCTTCTGACTCAGTGGTGCTAGAACCGCATCGTCTAAAGCCAACGTGCTTATTTCTGCATTCATTAATGATACTTATTTTAAGTCGAAAATGTAGTTCACTTTCACTGTTAAATAACTTTTGGAGTAGGAATTAAATCTGGTCCACTAAGGAAATCTTTTTTTTAATTCTTTTATCTCTTAAGCACAAAGTAATTTCGTAGATATAAATATCAAGATGTTGTGGCCCTCTTTTTAGTCGCAGTCTCCTTTGGCTTTATAGTTTTGGTTCGACCACATTTTTGCAACTTGATCGTAGCATTAGAGAGACTTTATGGAACATACCTAGTCCTGTATCTTTTGCTTTATTATTCGTGATTATCTATCCCTTGATTATTGACTTGGCACGTTCTCTATTTTGAACACAAAATGGGATCGAATGATGCCACAACGGTTAAACATAGAATTGTTCGAAGGGA